TCGCGCATGAAAATAGCGTGTTAGTGCAGCAGAGTAACAGAGTACTATACCGCTCACAAAACGTGCAAAATTTCCGGGCATGTCGCAGTTTTCCGCAAAAAAACCCCAACTACGCGGCATTCCGGGAACTCCGCGTATTGCCGAAGTTTCTCGGGATCTCCGGGTATTTCGCGCAATATCGAAGAATACCGCGGGATTGTGAGCTGTATTGTGTTTCTTCTCGTGGAAACGAGAACGTGGAAAGGCGTGAATCTCCCACACTCAATCACATTTATCACGAACATTAAGGCGAACACACAATCAATCTGCTCTCATTTATCTTCGTCACGAAAAACAACGGTTTTGCTATCTGCTCTGAGAAGTTTTCTTGCACTTCTCTCTGTCACACCTCTCGTCCTTCGCTCGCTGTTGTTTCTCCAGCAATCAATGTCGTTGTCATTTCATGATTCCTGCCCCGCTTCTTTAGGTTTCAGCTCTGTTTCGCTTCGAAAATTTTCTTGAAATTTTTTTCGGGTTCTATGGGGGGGGTATATTTTTTCCTTTCAGTAAATTTTAACCACTCATAATTCAGTTCACCGAACGCAATGTGTTCTTTTATTATGTTCTTTAATGTTCTTTTATTATGAATGCCTCTATGTTGCTTCTTCAAGCAAAATTAATCATTATTAGTGCTCATTTTCAAATGTATAACCTAAAATAGTTGATCATGCCATTAACATATTTTTTATTCTTTTTTAATCGTCTATTTGATATTAATTTTTCATTTTTATAACATTAGCCTATTTTTTTCTTTCTTTATGTGAAATGAAACGCCTAAAGCGTATTGGATGAAATGAAGTGAAATCATTTTTAGATAGATTCACATTATATTGACTTAAATTTCAATTAAATAATTCATTGAAAGTATAGTTTAAACTTGAAGAGAGACACATTTCTGCACATGTCAAGTAGGTCCTAATATAATGTAATTATCTTTTTTTATTTTTCAAGGTTGTGTTTATAACAACTAAAATCGAGCTTATTTGTGTAAATTTTTTTTAACATTGTTAATTTGAAATGTCTTCGCTTCGAAATTTTCTGTTATGTCTAGGAAGTTTTTTCAGCCAGCCACTAAGAAAAATTACCTAGTTCTTCTGTGACAATGAGTCGCACGCCCGTTTTTTTCTTTCCGAAAACTTGTCTAGATTTTTGTTAGAGTATTCTTCTCTGCTTTTATTTACTAAATGTTACGATAGAAAAGTATTGAAGAATGTTTGCCTGACGTTGTTTGTTGTGATGGCAGTGTTTTTCTCGCATTTCTCAAAAAGTAAACTAGTTCTGCGGCATTTCCACTTTTCTAAGTGTGAAGTGTTGTGTGAGGTGTGAAAAAAGTGACATTATCTGGTTAGAATTTCATTTTATTGATAGGCACTTAGACTGGAAAATTTTGGTGAATAAGTGTAGGTGGCGAATTGGATATTAGTATTCAATTTGTCGAATATTCATAGAAAGCTGATTCTTTTAAGTGATTTCTGTGACAGAAAATTGGCTGTAAATCTCAGAAACAGTGCCAATTCATAGAAAAAAGAAAAAATCATACAAAAAAATCAGCCTTACCGAAGGCACGTGAGGAAGCTCCTACCTCTAATGGGCATAGTTTTTTTTTGCTTTTTTATAGTTTGCCCAGCGGTGAAATGTACTTGTTAATAAAACCAAGAAAGTAAAAATAACAACTCTCGTTGCAATACCAAAAATTGTGGAAATGTTTAGATTCAAAAATTATTTCCATATTTATTAGATTGTTTATGTTGTTTTTGAATGACATCGTTTTATTATTATTTTGATTGTTTTATTCCTTGTTTAATCAGCTAGTTTTCTGCAGTATTTTTACGAAATAAATTGGGTTTCATATCTCCCTATAAATTCATTAACAGCTCCCTTTCTTTCCAAAAAAATCCCAACTTCTCCACACATTTCCTTCCCGATTACAACGGCTCTTTAGCATTTTCACCAACAAGAAGCACATGTGTGCGTCCGTAGAGTCAGGATTTTATGTCGCCAAAGCACTCGAAATTCTCCCCCCAGATGTGTGTTTATTTGTTGAAGTTCTCTCCAGAAAATCTCCTTGATTTCGAATGTTTGCTCAAAAAAATCGCCGTCTTTGTGCTTACTTTTTGACGAAGTTCCGTACGTGAGAATGTAAACATATGAACCGGAACGCTGTCGGATGTGGCTACTTTAGTAGAGGAAGGGATTCAAAGAATGAGGATATTTGGAGGGGGGGGGGGGGGGGAGGAAGGAGTTTGGAGTAGCAGAAATTTTTTCCCAAGTTTTAGAATTGCTATTTGAAATTATCTTGAAAAGAAAAAAAGCAAGTAGTAAATTGTTTAGAAAATTCCAGCTCTCTTTCAATCAGACCTTGTCTGAAAAAGAATTATATCTCTCTTATTTTTAATCTATGAGATTTTCTTGACTTTTACACGAGTTTGCCCGAAGTTTTATGACAAAGACTAGATTTACTAGATATGACGCAAATGCGCGAAGATATCTAACCAAACTCAAAAGCAAACGCAAACCTGTGACTCACAATTCTGTCTTCTTTTTCATTTCTCTCGACTTCGCTGACTCAGTAAAACACCAAAAAATGTCTGCGCTAGGTAGACAAATCTGTCTGTATTCAGTTATCTTCCCAAATCCTCAAATAAGATTATTTCTTTCCTACTACTCTTTTCAAAAATTCTCTCAAAAAGTTTTCCTACATGCTAATGCATCCCATTGTCACGAATCTTATCTTATACTTATCTTATCTTAATCGTGCTCAACTAAAGAAGTTTTCTTTTTGCTTCTTGTCAACAAATTTTTTTTTGTTTCTATAGATCAAAGTACCATGAGTGGGCAATACGTTATTTCTGTGAGAAATGGGAAAAATTTTTGGGGAAGGAAAAGTAGCAGTATATTCAAAATTTGATATCAGCAGAAAGCGCTAAACATTGGAAATAAATTATTTTTGACTAGTATGGACTCACACAAATCTCAGATAACTTACTAGAAATTCTTCAAGCAAAGATTAGTTCGAGCAGATATTTCCTGTTTCACTCGATTTGTATAAGCTGTGGTTTTCTATCCCTTCGATTTGGAAAACATGCTTATGCACGGGCAAATTTGAGAAGTAGTTGCAGCTAATATTACAAATATTGTAATTTTTAAAAGAAAAGGAGTGTTGTTTAGTAACGTTTTCAAGAAAAGTTGAGATTTTACATTTTTGAATCAGATTGGTTTTGTACGAATATTTCCTGTTTCACTAGACTGACATAAGCTCTTATTCGTAATGCTTCGTCGGTAATGCCGCATTTGTGATGGAATCTCACTTCACTTCTCAAAAAAGCAGTTTGCAATGATCTGTCTAATATTTGCCGAATTTCTTCTAAACATTCGTGTCCGTTCGCGTGTGTTACACGAAGTAAGCCGCGTCTGAGTGTTCGTCGTTGTCGTGGTGTGTGTGTGTGCGCGTACGTGTCGCGCATCGTGTCGTGTCGTGTCGCGCGCGCGTCATTCCGTCGTCGCCGGTGTCATCGTTCTCTCACAGCTCAGACGCTCCCGTCCAAGTCCGTTCGAAGCGCTTTCGGCACATCCCGAAAGCCTAGTCGACAGTCCTTTGGCGATGAAGGACATGGCTGTGCCGCCGGACGCTGTGCACTGCGAGTGTTCGCTACTTGCCGCGCGAACACCGCGACTCAAGTCCGCCGCGACCGGATCGCGGCGATTGACGCAGACGGTCGCTGCGACGCAGTTCGCACACCGTCCGCGATCATTCTCGCGATTTCTTGAGACGATTGTACGCAAAGTGTTTGACTCGCAACGAAAGCCTAAACAAGTGAGTGCTTCTTCCATTTTGACTGGGCTACAGTAATCCCGTTTGACTGGGAAACATAGGCATAATTAGCCATTTTGCTCTCAGACTCGAGGTTTTTAGGAATTTGACTCCGTTGCACGTAGCACCTTCTAAAAAAATGACTAATCTTACTCTTTGATTTTATGTTTTGTGCTTGTTCGCTCGATGTTCTATGGAAAATCATATAGATAATCTTTGGCATCAAAAATTCTTTTCGGCATCAGTTTTAGTTTGCATCAAATTTGAAGATGTGCTTGTTCGTGTCAAGTGAAAAAGAGCAGTATCCTTATCGAAAGAATTGAATTGTAACCTTGGATTGCGGAAAAGTGGGGGATTTGAGTAGTTTTTTTTTACCAAAGAAGCTTCAATTTTTTTGTGATGATACCGTAATGATCTCAGAGTTTTGCAGTCATTGACCAGAAATAATTAAATTGCGATTTGAGCACACTAGGCTCTCAGAAGAAACACAAAAAGGCAAAAATTCGAGCGCAGAGGGGGAGGAGTCATGCTCACGCTTTAACAAGGATGCGCGGCAGCCTCTTGTCATTGAGGCGTTTTTATTTGACAAGCATCATGATAAAAGTTCGTTTCTTCTTGTGTTGCGTTCAAACTTGTCGCAGCGCGACGCGTGTGCGTTTTATAGATCCTAAGTGTGCAATTGCACAACTTTGTGTCGAGCTGCAGAAAGATTGCACCTGTCATCAACACCCACCCGCAATTCTTACACCCATCGGTTGCAAAATCTCGCTCCGGTCCCCCCCCACCCCGATGACGTACAAGTCAATTCGTAATACGTCAGTTGCTCGGGTCCACATTTCTGAAGTACTCAACCGACTCGCTGATCGCTTGCGATCGTACAATTTTTTTGGACCCCCCCACTCCCCGCTTCCAGTTTGCTCTCACCTGGTCATTGTCCTTCAAATTATTGGCCTAGTGGTTCCAGCTGCGAGATTTGGCACTAATGTGTGACGTGTTAGATGTATTGGGATATCAATGACCGATATCCAAAAAATGCGCTATTGGCGCCGCGCAATTTACGCGTATGGAAATTGTTAAGGCGTAAATGTGTAAGTGGGTCAGAATGAACGTTCTTTAATGTTTGGAATAAATTACAGCTGTATCGTTTCAGTTCTCCCCGCAGAAATTGTCCGATGTCAGCGACTCATCACAAAATCAAAAGTGAGTGATCTTTTCATGTTTATGAGAATTGGCGCATTTGAAGAGAATATTTCAATTTTTCAGACTCAGTAGACAATCTAACGATCTCCTCATCACTGAGCCTAGCAAGGATATTTCGCCAAAGTAAGCATTTATGCTCAAATTCATATACTCTGCGGTCATGGCGGCAAGTTAAAATTTAAAAAAAAACATCAGTGGTAGTTTATTAGGTTGTAACATGAGTCTTGCACCAAGAATTCCAAAAAATGCGTTTGAAATCGCTTAAGCAATCGTTTTCAGTATGTGATATTTTTGTTTTTATAATGTATGTAGTAATTTATTATACCAATGAGAAATTCTAGTATTCTAAACAAAATAAACAAATAAAAAGAGATCCTTAACAAAACCAGAATTTGAAAAAAAATTCTAAAATTACAAGTTCTCTTAGTGTAAAAACTGATGAGCGCAAATTTGCTTCAGTAAAAAAGGAGTGATCCTAAAACTAGATGCAAAAGTAGTTTGCTAGACCCTCTAGTATTTTTGACTGTCAAAACACAAAAAAGAAAGATCTAAATAGTTTATCTTTATCAACTTTTATACGTTTTGAAACGATAATCTTTGTTTTGAGCACTGTCAGAAAGCATATGATCTCTTTTTCGATATCGTTTATTACTTCCAATGAATTTTATATGTAAAGAAACTTAAGCATTTCAATTTGGTGCAAGACGTATACCACCTAATGGTTTGATTTTCGAATAAGAGCGGATTCGAAGTTTTCTACTTTTTTCGCTCATATCTGGGTTATTTCAATTTGTCCAAGGACTCATGTGTACAACATATTAGGTCGTTCCGAAAGTAATGTCGCTTTTTTCAAACGTACGCCACATTTCCTGGAACGAAGATATGTAAGAGATTCTGGTAACATTTAATGCAGCAATTCATTCTCTTTTTAATGGTTATATAACTACCGCACAAAATTGAATAACCTCTGCGAAAATTATCGAGATCTGCCACCCATGCTTTTTGAGAAGGTCAAGATTCACAATTTTTCCAGATTTTTATAACAACCCCCGGAAGGAGTCCAAGCTATGTATGGATAGAGCAAACCCTACGGGAGACAGCACAACTTTTTTCTACATTTCAAAGCTCGTCATAATTCCTGTGTAGATTTTTTGATGGAACCACCGAATTTTAGCAGGCTCGCCTCAGACACAAATGCATCAAACACGAAGAAATCGTCGGATTTTGAAACTTACAAAAATGGATTATGGTTTTACACTAATTTTGCAAAGCAAATGAGCGTTTACCGCTTCAGATTAGCAACTTTCGAAAATTTCGGGTACACCTTGGGGTGCCTTGGGAAAGTTGAGTTATGAGGATTTTATCCCGGAAAACTTGATGAACCGGAAACAAAAAAACAACCGCTAGAAAGAGGAGAAAAAGCCTGCATCGAATGACACCCGAGTTGCTTGCCGGTTGTTGTTCTGTTAGGTTCGAGTTGACCAAATATGGAATTTGATGGCATTTTAAAACTGATTCCAGAAACTTTAAGAAGCAAGCTAAGGAAAAGAAAAAAATTACTTTGTGTCCTAGAGGGTTTGCTCTACCTACCAGTCACTTGCACTTCTTCGGAGAATAGGTACAAAAATTTTAAAAAATTGCCGAACTTGACCATGGCAAAAAGCATGAGTTGCAGATTTTGTTAATTTTTCGAAAGCTCAATGAAAATTATGCAATGAAATTATAACCATTAGAAAGAGGATGAAATGCTGCATCGATTGCTTCTAAGATCTCTTGAAAATCTTGATTCCATGAAGTGTGGCGTTCATTTGAAAAAAGCGACATTACTTTCGAAACGACCTAATATCATTTTGTGGATGAAAATGGTTGTATACGAACATGCATTGATTAGCATTCCACAATACAGATTTCTCATAGAAAGTGTCTAATTTCTCGTATCATTAAGGTGAAAAAATCACCGAATCTTTAGGAAAGTTGTGAAATGACTTACGTGAAATACTACAGCGAGAAAATATCGGTTTCAAATCATACTGTTACTTTCTACTTCAAGCTGTTTAGCATGCAAATCAAGAAAAATACAAGTGCTACATACCACCCTTTGATTCAATAGGCTTGGCGCCTGGAAGGCCGGGCTTCGTGATCTAGCTGAGGCTAGATGATAAGAGAGCATGCGCGCGAGAGAGTCGCAAACTCGTCGCGGGCGCGAGAGGCCTTAATTAGGTCATCACAAAGCACCGCCTTCCATACGCCAAGCGAGTTGAATCAAGGGTTATGCCATGATTTATTTTCTCTAAATAATGTGGAAACAAGTCACTAAGAATTGCACGAATCTAATGACTTTCCAAACTTGAAGTAGTCAAAAAATTGGAGAGATGCTAAACAAATGATCTATTATAGAACATATACAAAGTGCGCTGTCTGTAGGTTTCTCCCAGACTCTTCATCAACTGAATTAAAAAATAACAATTTTTAAGAGATGGAAAAATCGAAAATGTCTTGCTCATAAGAATTTTTTAATTCTATCATTTGCAGGACAAATGGGCACACTCAGCTAAACAAAACCTTCAATGTTAGCAGGGTGAGTCCTTCATCTTCTGAAAAACTTGCTTCAATCGAAATCTTATGCTTTAGCACGATTTGGACTCGTCATCTGGCACATCTGATGGCTCACTAAACGCCACGCATGGCACGAAAAATCTTGAAGAGAGTGTTTCCATGTGGGTTTTTTTTCTTAAAGTCATCAAATTCTCTTCTTATTTCTCTAAATCATATTTTGCAGCATCAATGACAAGAGTTTTGACAATCGTAGTGGTTTTAATAAAACTTATGCTTTGCGTGGACGAGCAATCAATGTTCCCAAGTCAGTTTATTTTCTCCAAGTTTTCAGAGAATCGCAATTATCCTGTGTTTCATCTGAAATATTTTAGGTTCCACTATCCTCAAGGGAAGCCCGTCTCGACTGTGGAAAACGATTCAGCTTTACGTCGTGTATGCAAGGTTTTCCGCGAATTACCGGGTGAACAGGTAGCGTTTTCAAGTTTTTTGTTTTTAAGCCTGTTTTGATCTTTCGAGGGTAGAAGAGAGGGAGGACGAGGGGGGAGGGGGGAATTAGTCTCGGTCATACCTTAAAGAAACGTCTTGCAAACATTTGCATTCCTATACTACTTGATGACAAAAAGCACAGAGCAATACATGTCTATAACAAGGTTGGCGAGGTACAGCGGTATCACGTGCCCCGCCTCCTCACCACGCCCGTTTTTGTTTTGAAATTCTTCTTTTTGAAATTTAGAGGACGTTTTCTGCTACATGCTCACTCGTAAGGATCATCTGAGCAAAAAGAAAATCACTGGGGATGTTTTTTGACAGTAGAACAAATTTGAATTGCTGCCCAGTTGCAGCAAGGCTCACAAACTTGTTACTGTAGTGCTACTGTAGCTTTTCTAGTAGGCATCAGGACCTTCGCATCAATATATAAGATTGCGTGGGGGGTATTTTCACCTCATTAAATACCTGAAATTGATCAACTCAAATTTTTCTTCAATTTTAGTGTTCGTTAGCTGATATGCCACGAGTATGTGAAGCTGCCAATTTGCCACTCTATTGGAAACATCCGATCTTCATGTCGCTGACCAAGGGAGAAGTAAGATTTACAGGTTATCTTCGTGGATCAATTGCTGGACAAAAAATTTTGCGTTGCAGGTCCGTAGCGCGACTTTGATGGACTTCACTGCATGGTGGCGTGCTATGACAAGCATCGCTCATGATGAAGCTGCGAGGTGAAATTTTATTCTTTTTTTTCTTTGAGTGTTATATATAAATTTTTCTAATACATCTAAGCAGTGTTGGCAGCTATTTTTTATATAATCCAATGGATTCTGTGGAAGTACAGATTTATCGTGCTTTTCAAACTTTGTTTTCTATTCTATATTTCCTTTTTCAGAGCTACACTTGAGTTACTTGTGATTATTCTACTCTAAGAATTATTTTTAGCCCTTTTTGAAGATTTCGTCAGTGGAGCACAAATGAAAATTCTGGATCTTGCGTCAGATAAGATTGCCACGATTTGGCAAAAACATGCGCAATTTAAATTCAAATTCCTCTAAGCTACAAATAGCTGAGAATCACAGAACATGATAAGCTGGAGAGATATAGCCCTAAATTTGTGAAAGTGTGGTTATTCAAAGATCTTCAACGAAATTTGCACAATCATTTTCTTGGTAGTTAGAAAATAGAGAAAAAAAGTGTTGTAAAGAAACATGCACTCAAAATCAACATATTTAGAGTTATAAGCAATTTATCGCGCAAAAAATAGACCCCTTTGTTTCCTAATGAAATAGTTCATGTTTGTGAGAGACTCTAGACGGTTAAAGGAGTGAGAGTGCGCCTAGTCTGAGAGATGGCGACGGCGTCCGCAGTCGCGTCCTATCTGCGTACCATAAATTGCCTTTGAATCTGAAAAAAAAGGAGATCTGATTGCTTCACATTTCGATTGAGTAATGAATTTTTTACAGGTTTGTTTACACGCTTAGCGGTGGAAGCAGAAGTTACATTACAAGAGAAGATTTGTACGGCATGGTTATGGACATCATGCATACACATCCAGGGCTGGAGTTCTGTCGAGAAGCGGTCGATTTCCACGACAAATACTGTGATGTGGTGAGTAAATTGTTCTGAGATAAGAACTCATGACGGAAATGGGGAAAGTTGGAGAGGGCTGAGTTTGCTAATCACGCGTATAAGGTGCACTTTTTTAAATTTTCAAGCGAGCCGCTCAGCCGCTTTACTGTATTCCTGAAAGAATTCCTTACATCGCACGATTCTCTCAAGCAATATACCGCACGTTATAGGGTCCTTTGGTTGAAAAGTCCTTTGGCTTGTCTGGGCTGGTCGATTTTGGAAAAAAATCCCCCGCGCCTTATACGCGTGAAATTAGGGTATTTGGTATAACGAGCTGGTTTGGCGGCTGGAAGGCGGGGCTATGCGACCTAATTAAAGCCGCTCGCGCCTTCGGCGCATTCTGCGTCTCTCTGCCCGCGTGCTCTCTGGTTTAGCATTAATTAGGTCATGAAGCCCCGCCTTTCAGGCGCCAAGCCAGTTGAATCAAAGGGTAACAGCAGTTTTTTTTCTGTTTCTCTCATTATACACTCGCGTACTATATCTTGTTTCGTCATGCAAGTTTAGGACCTACTATTTTTCCCTTTTCAAGTTCTTTTGAGAAATTTGGAGAAAATTAACAAACACCTACTGCTTACACCATATCACATGTGCGGTTCTCAAAAAACCAAAAGCAAATCATAAACACCTGTTTCTTGCCTAGGAAATGTCGCAGATCTGTTCATTTTGGTCACATATGTAAGAGAGAGTTTCCTGGAATACTTTTTTGCAAAGATTATCTCTGTAACATCAAACATCAAAAAATATCTACAGTATATATTTTTGGTAAGAAAAAGGCTTACAGTAGTCTGACAGAAGCCTGATTGCTGACAAGGGAACCGTGTCGAGTCGAAGTGGCCTTTCCAGATGGGACCCATACTGCTTTGAAGAGTATTAAGCGGTGATTCCAAATCTGCCAAGCGCCTCTGGACGCCGAGTTATTGCCGTTCTTCGGAACGAAAAATGAATGCAGAATTTGGGTAAAATTGATTGTTACAATCTTCCAGCGCTCAGGTAAAGCAATGTTAAGTATTAGCGTATTAAATAAAATGTATCCATTGCATAAACAGCTCTGATACTTGACACTGGACCATTTGAGCAAATTTGGGCGATTTTGCTTCAGTTTTGCGTTCAATTTTTTGACCTGAAAAACGAGCATAACTTGGCGTCCAGAGGCGCTTGGCAGATTTGGAAAGCAGATTTGGAATCACCAATTAATGCTCTTCAAAGCGGTATGGGTTCCATCTGGAAAGGCCACTTCGACTCCACACGGTTCCCTTGTGAGTTGCTGATTTCTAGTTTGGATGAGCAGGGTAGAGGAACGAAAACCTCAATTAGGCACCGCCTCCGAGGACTACTTGTTTTAACGCGATGCACAACAGTAGGACTAGTGAACCAGCAGCCCGCAAAGGCGTTGCCTAATTGAGGTGTTCGTTCCTCTACTCGGATGAGCACAATAAAAACAAAAAGCGCTTCAAAATTTTGGAAACACTTCAGGCCAGGTTCCATACGTTTTTTCTGTGTAGTACATTGCTACCAAAATATGATTCGTACTTTCAAAAGCTATTGTCTAAACATGGAAGGACTCCAACATAAGTTGGAGATTGAAGACGGAAGGGTATATCATTAGACGCGTCTTTGAACGCTGATTTCAAATCTGCTTCATCCTTTGCGGAACAACTCTCCGAAAGAAGTTATTGGCGTTTAAATGTCCAGATTTGTGAAGCGTTAAGTGGCGTAAAAACAAAGAAAGCTCTACAAAAACACCGAAGCGGATTTTCACTGTTTATGCTTCTTCCTAGTGTTCAGTAGGGTCAATACAAAATTGGTCACGCACTTTTATGGAGCTTTTCGACAATTTTATGTCTCTTAATTCTTGACAATTTTGGAGTTTTAACGCCCACAACTTCTTTGGGAGAGTTGTTCCGCAAAAAAGGAAAGCAGATTTGGAATCAGTGTTCAAAGACGCGTCTAGTGATATATATCTCGTCTTGAATCTCAAACTCATGTTGGTATCCTCCCCTTGTAAGTCTTCTTATAATTCTGTATTGTCGATTCGTTGACCGCACGGACTGGACATCACTGCGGAGCACGCGAGGTAAAACCCTGCTCCAATACAAATTCGTCATTGTACAAACCGCAACATTTCAGCTGCGCCGCGCGTGGTCCGCAGCGTTTGAGCACTCCGTGCGGTCAACGAATCGACGATATTTACTCATGCTGTCAGCTTTCAGGTGATAGCAAGAATTGCTTGGAATCTTGGTTGCGTCTGGCAGGGGAGAATCACGGCTGATTGCCTTCGTAAGTCGGATTTTCTTCGAGCGGTACGGCAATTACAAGAGGATAGCGATATCAATCGTTGTGTTCGCTACTTTAGGTAAGAAATAACCATTTTCATTCTTTTTACATTTTATCAATCGATCTCTTCCAGCTATGAACATTTTTACGTTATTTACTGCAAATTTTGGGAGATTGACAATAATCATGACCAAATAGTCAGCAAGACTGATATGAAACTTCATAAAGACGGCGGTAAGATTCTTCTTCCCTGTCCTTGGTTTTTCTTTGAATTTCGCATTTTCCAGCTATAACTGATCTCGTACTTGATCGCATCTTCTTCTCCTGTGCAGTAAGACTTACAAAGAAGGATACCATGAATCTGATTGGCTTTACTAATTTTCTTCTTGCTGAAGAGGATAAGAATCACCCTACTAGGTAGCAGATTTTTCTTTTTTCTCAGCTTCTAAAGTTATTTTCAAATATTTCTCTGCTTCAGCGTAGAGTATTGGTTCCGAGTTTTGGATGAGGATGGAGATGGTTACATATCAATGTACGAAATGGAGAAGTTTCATCAAGCAGTTATTGATAAATTAACCGAAGAAAGAATTGACACAATGTCTTTCAAGGATGTTGCCTGCCAGGTTAATATAATCTTTCTTGTATTTTTTTACTAGCAGTCTTTTTATGAAGAATTTAACGCTTTGTTGAAAGCTGGGTCCAGAGTTGATCATGTGCTAGCTCCCACGTGGATGCGTCCAGTGTTGATTCGGTGGCGCTAGCACGGGCAACTTCCGATTCAGGCTAAAAGCTCTCCAAATAACATTTTTCCCAATATCTGGGTTTTTCACTGATTTGTAATCTTCGAGCGATTCAAAGCTCTGAAACGTTTTGAGAACACAACGGTAAATTTGCTACCAACCGTAATCTTTGCAGAAATTTTTATGCACCCCCCCCCCCACTAAAATAGCTTTATCTAATAAATTGCAGATGTTTGATATGATCTGCCCAAAAAATGGCACAGCTTTCCGCCTGATGGATCTGAAAAAATCGCCGTTGAGTATACGTTTACTAAATGCATTGATAAATTGGCGAAAGTTCTATGCTCAGGAAGTTACTGAAGGTAAATCAAATCTACTAGGGATAATCTTGTAAAAAAAAGTAATCAATCTAAGGTACGGAAAGAGTTCTCGATGAAAATGGACGAGAATTATCGGATTGGGAACGCTTCTGTTCCGAAGAATATGAAACGATGATGGAGAACGAGGAAGAAGTTGATGAAAACTTGTAAGTAAATAGTTATGTCAGAGCTTATTTCATGAATTATTTTCACACAAACTAATTGCCTGGACACTTTGCTTCTTACTTCAAAACTTACTTTGAACTACACGTACTCCTCCACCTTCTAGTATTACGACTTGAAAATTCCACAAAATTTTCTGTTTCAAGATCAGCACATAAGCATTCGAATTTCCCCGCTCGCTGATCACTTCTGGAAGCAAGCATTCGCTTGAGTAACGATAGCGGGCTAAAGTCATATTGCAATTGATATTTATCTATTACGAAAATTAACTAGACAGCATTGTCTGATCCGCGCCAGTTTTTTTTTCACTGCTTGTTGTAAAATACAGTGAACTCAAAACTTTTCATTTTTCGACATTTTTGTGTATAGTGTATTCGTGTTGTTCTATAATATAGTGGATCAAGCAATAGGGGTGTTGAGGACAAGCAATACTTTGCCTCACTTATACCCTTGGTTCAGCCTTTTTTTTGTATGTCTAACCTTTTGATGTCAGTCAAAAAAACGCTTCAAGCAGTACGTGCTAAGCAAGTTTTGATGTATCTCAAAACGAAATTTTCAAAGAAGTTTTCTGTTTCAAGGATAGCATATAGGCATTTGTATCTCTTAAACTATTGGTTGGCAGACACATTTCTGATGTGTGGGGGATTTTTTTGAAATTAATGCCGTATTTTTCCTCTGGAAATTTTTTGAAGCTTTTGTCTGCATAGGATGATAAATAAGATCCGTATTATTAATTCATTATCACAAAAAACCTTTGTTAACAATAAAATCAAACAACAATTCGAGACCAATATGAAGAATAAAATTTGTTTGATTGAGCTAGGAAAAAAATTGTATTCAAAAGATGACAAGATTAATCCAATATCAATGAGTTCCTCAATTGCATCTGGTACCATCTCTTTGAAAAAAAATCATATAATAGTAAGGGCATTCCGATTTTACATATTTGTCTAATCGAGTTATAGACAATATTTGGGATGTTTTTCATGTCTTAACTCAAGACTTGTGCTCGTTCCAAAATGTATTAGGTTGATGCATAATTCCTGCACCAAAATAGGTACAAACCGCAGTAACTCGGGATAATTCTATATCCCAAGTAGGGTTCGATATATCATTAGATAGAGCAAACCTAGCTCTACAAGAAAGTGACTAAAGTTTTGCAGCAGCTTTGATCACGCGAAATTTTGAGCCGAAGACTGAAGAAAACCATGCGTCCGAAAACCTTAAGACCGATCAAAACAAAATTGTAACTTCGTTCAAAAAGCTCCTACAAAATTTCTTTCTTGCTCACGCGTAGACATTCCACGTAGGGCATCTATCTATGAGGTTGCTGTATTTTTTTCTCAGCTAAACGATGAGAAAATGGAGTTTTTCATGTTTTTGCCAAATTAGTGCTGAGATGTTCTAGCACTAACAGTTGTATAGTACATACCATTAACAGTGAAACTTTACATTTTCAGCCTTCTAGAACAGCTAGTTCACGAGAAATGACGGATCTAGCTCTCTTAATCCGAATTTTTCTTGCCTAGTTGCCAAAAATTCGATATTTCTCGTAAACCAGCTGCTGGCAGAAGCTGAAAATTCACACTCACGCTTCTTAGGTCCTATAGTATACAACTGTCAGCGCTAGAACATCTCAGCATTGTTTTGGAAAAAAACATGAAAAACTTCGTTTTCTCAATTTCTAGCTGAGAGAAAAATACAGCAACTGCATAGAGGAATGTCTTATACGAAATGACAATGCATGAGCAAGTTAGAAATTTTAAAGGATTTCTCCGAACTGACTTCCAATTTTTTCTTGGTTTTTTGGGGAGCTTGGATCTTTTTCGTTTTTGGCTTGAATCTTCGCTTGGACCAAAGCTGCTGCAAAACTTTAGTCACTATCCTGTAGAGCTAGGTTTGCTCTATCTAATGATATATCGAATCCTACTTGGGATATAGGATTATTCCGAGTTATTGCGGTCTGTACCTATTTTGATGCAGGAATTATGCATCAACCTAATAGAAAAAGAAAGTAATATAAATAGATAAGTAATTATTATGACCGTAAAGGCTAGTCCTGGACATAGGAAGACTGTTCATATAAGGTGAACGCACGCGAACGCATCGCGCGAGCGGTATGAGCCGCTTGTTCTGCAACACATGCGCTCTAGCAAAGATAGGTGAACGATTGTCGCGCTTACGCGCATCGTAAAGATAAATCGTCCGCCTTCATTTGGGACTAGCCTCTATCTGCAATGTAGAGTTGAATTGATGAAATTTATTCAGTTTTGTTTGCCTCGATGACGACAACGGCTCAAATCAAACATTCTGATCTCTGATGCTGCTGATCAGCAGCATCTGATCTACAGCAGCGTGCACACAGGATGCGCCAAAAGTGCCGTTCATTCTCCTCTCATGAATCCTCGTCTAAATGAGTTTGATTCATTGTTTATTCTAATGCAAACACACATGCGTGAGCATATCACTCTTACGGTTATTTTGAATCAGGTACTTTGATAGTCTGTGTCATCTCATTTCCATTTGCTTTGATTTTTTCTTTTTCTCCTTTACATTTTCCCTTTATTTCCCTATTCTACTTGTTTGCATGGTATATTCTTCTCTGTCGGATAACCTACTTAATTTCTTATTTTAACTCATTCTTAACCGTTTTATCGTTAGACGCAGCTCAGTTCGCATTGTTTAGAAATTTACTGTTGTACTATTGAGTTTTAATGAATTTATCCAATCCTTCAAATCAACGTGTGTATGTGCTCAATTGTTCCTTAGCATTGCGTGAGTTGCTATAGCAAGTTTTATTTTCATTTTTCTTGTTTTATCTATCAAATGTGTGTACAAGAGAATTTTATGATTTAGATATTGAAGTAAATGCCTGTAAATTAGTGTTTACATAAATCAGTATGATATCAATATCTTAAACAAACGATGTTTTTTGCGCTAGTATAATGTAGTGTCTCCAAACTTGATCTGAATCACGACTTAGGCGGATCTTTGATGCTCATTCCCTGTTTTGCTCTATCGATTAATAACACTATCTCATGTACCCGCAACACCATAAGTCTGCTAGGAGGAGTTTGATAAGTTTGAAATTGGAGTAGGGGGTCACATTTGCAACCTACCTCTTTTCTTTGAGCATACGCAAAAATTTTGTTTTGCTGAACAAGTGGTTATTTTGCAAAATAAGTTCGTCAAACATTAAGACATTCATGATCATTATTAGGTTGATAAACGTTTTCTGCTACATTTTTTCTTTATTCTCAAAAAGTGCCAAAGCTCCCTCGAATTCTTAATCCATTCACGAAGATGTGGACCACCAGTGGTCCACATCCCTTGCAAAATCATATCCTTTCCAGCTCTAGCATTTTTCCATAATTCAGCATTTTTTCCAATTTTTTGCGCTTTTAGAACCCGTAGACTTCGTCGTACAAGAAGAGGCAGTAGTTGTTTACAAAACATTCTTACACTTAAATAATTACAAAACTTTCCCGCGCCGAAAGTGTTGTGCAAGCGTCGTCCCACAGAGCCCCACACAAAATTAGGCGTCATCGTCAGTGGGTTAAAATTTGCTTCAACTCATAAGGGGGATACTTGGTCGAAGTGGCGTTTCCACATGAAATGTATGTATCTTGTAGAGCGTAGAACGCAATTCCAAGTCTGCTTTCCTTATTTTCAAAACGCTTCTGCGAAGGAAGTTATGGCAATTTTCTGAGCTAAAATTTTAACGATATGGTTAGAGTAAAAACAGCTGTTGAGGTCTTTTCAGCCCTTGAAAGAAGTAATGACTTGCAAGTGTTTGTTAGATTGAATGCATTTATAGCATAAAATATTCTGGTAGTAATCATGGTCCCATCTGAGCTCACGGCCTGGATTTCTGAATGATTTTATTGTAGCGGCGTTCTCAAATTTTTGCATCAAAAAATTCACATAACTCCACTCCCAGAATCGCTTTGCAGATCTGAAAACAGATTCGCAGCGTCTCATGCTCTATAAGATGTTATACATTTCATATAGAAAAGCGATTTCGATCAGGTATCCTTCCCTTGTCAGACGATGACAGAAACTATCATCGATGTCGCAAATGCACACATTTCCAGCAAATCTCGCGTTTTGTATAAGTAGTGAAATTCTCCATTTCTCTCTCTGCTTCTACTTTTGCACTTTTCTTTCACTACATAATTTTTTGAGAATGTATCTCGGACTGTAATCTCATTAATGCATCCTACCGGAGCAAGTTTCTCAAACGAGAATTAAAAAATAACGAAAATTTATAAAATTTTCGAAAATTCTCTGTTTATGTGCATGGTGTAGAAGTAGAGGAATCTGAGAACGAGTTTTAGATTTTTCAAAGAGTTTAGGCGTATGATGAAATTTATTCAGTTGCAAGCTGTGGACATGGAAGAGTTATTTCGTCTTGAAATTACTATCATTCAACAAAATGCGACAAACTAACCATCAATTCCCAACAAAGTGTGGAATGCCAACTCACCTCCATTAGCGCAGCCATTCTGTACAGTTATTCCATGAATGTGAGGGTGTGCTTGGACCTAAATGACTCCTTTACTGTCAATCGCAGCCATCGTAATTATGGGAAAGCGTAAATATACTAGACATAGAAGATACATACTGCGTGTCAAATCAATCATGGTTAACCACATCGAATTTCCTTGACTTTCAACGGTGAAAAATTTATTTCTCAGAAAATTGAACATTCTTCTATCATATGGTGATGTCTATTCTTCTGCAAGAATTGTCTGTGAAATCCTTACGCACGGTACAAAAAGCGCTTCGGATTTTTCATAGTCAAAGCGACATTCAAAAAAGGGAACGAATTAGAAATCTGTAAGTTACCCTCAGAAATTGCTATGCTTATGCAGAAATATCTAAATACTAAACTTTGGAGAACTGTTAGGCTTGTCATAATTGAGAAAGAGCTATTGTGAGGTACTTAAATTGCTTGAGAGTCTTAGATTTGAACATGTGCCTATGAAAGGGATCAGTAAGCTGCTGGAAAAAGAAAGAAAAGCTGCGTTACTAATGTCTCACTAAAGTTGTTTAGAGTGACTATTAAATGTAGGCAAGTAATCGGAAGAATCTTCCGACCGTCATACTGGTGATATCAGTTTATAGCCTAGTGGGTTATTCCGAGACTTACTGCACAATCTGTGTCATTTACATTTTCCTCTTTAAATACGGATTACGCATCCGCAACGAAAGGACCTTGCGTGCGGCCTCTTTCCAACCGTGTTGCAGCACAGAATTCTCAAATCCTTTGTTTAGTTTCGCATATGACCAAGGTAATATGTCATAGTACGGTAGCGTAATCTCTTCTTGAGCGTTAAACCCTACCACCAAGTTCCTCCTAGCGCACAAACCATATGGCTTCCAAAAATGCTGCTGCGATCGCTTCGAATAAAGCAGTACTTCCACGCGGCTCTGTGAAAGTAATGTCTCGTTGACGCGCTCGCACCAGCGTAAGTGTTAAAGGCACCGTCCATCCAAAATATCGAACTCGATGTTTTTGTCGCCTTCAGGCCTTCTGAAAGCCCTGATTCCGAATATGGAGTCGAAAATCCGCGAAACCCCCAAAAATCCCTGTTTCGAGAACCCTCTGCAACAAGCGCAGGCGTGATAAAGCATGCAAATGGGCGGGGCGACCATGGTCGCCCCGCCTACTTTGCTACTTCCGGAGCGGATTTCTCGCTCCAGAAGGGGTCTTTTGCGGCGAAGCTTGGGGGTTTGCCTAGTGTGGGGGCCCACACTAGATGCCATCATAATCTCGCTAACCTTCATTTTGGGTGGACGGTGCCTTTAACAGCACTTCAAGTTCTGGGCCGAAGCCCCTTGTATAATACGGCGTATAGCTTACAAGTTCGTCGATCAAATTCCTCTCATATTAATAGGATTTTACATGTTGATGAGGTCATACGACACAGCGTGTTTAAGTGTTTTTCTAATTCGTTCCCTTTCCTAAGTGTTTTTCACAGGTCGCAAGTGGTCGATCAAGATATTGAGTTCTTCATTATTGACTTTTGAAGGTTCTCTATAGAACTTAATTGCATCTAACGGAAGGTGGGAGGGGGATGGGTCACGGGCACGTTTAAAGAAAGCGTGGCGGTTGGCTGATTGTACGGCTAAAATAACCGCTAAGCAAAATGCTAATCGAATTTGACAAGCAGTATGTACATTCTGCTGTATAGTCCGATAGATTTGGCGATCAAAATACACGGGATCCTATTCTGAGTGTCATTGTTAGCGCGACTCGCGTCTTCGCAAGCGCCTCACTTCGGCCTCTCGCCGCATTCGCGAACATGTCTCGGGGCACTTCGCATGCGGAATTTCCTACGCCCGATGCGTAGGAGGTACCGTATTTTTGAGCGTCAATGGCTGATGAGCTTGAAAAGAAAAATGCGCCGAGATACGTTACTGTACGCGTTGGGAGGCCCAAACGAGGGGATTCGCGGAGATGCGCGCCGCACCGCCTGCGACACTCGGAATGGGATCTCCTATAATGCTGTCGATTTGCGCATGAAAAGCGGCCATGAAACTCACATTTTCAAGTTCTGCGACCCATGGTCATTTTTCACGCGCCTGTACGAACTGTTCGGTTGATGCAAAGGTAACGAGCGTTCTTTATTGTTCCTCACTCGTATTTTTATATTAACATCGCGCCTGTAGCAGAAAATACGCTCATTATTTTTGCATCAACCTTGATATCTCGGCTAGCTATCGCGAGTAAAGTGCAAGTTTGGTGCAAAAAACAACACATAAACCCAACATCAGAAGAGGAAAATCTCAAGAAAGAAATTAACTGAACAAGGTGTTGAAGAAGTGCTAGTGGCTCGACATTTGCAGATCTGCTGAGGTAAACACTCACTTAAGGTGACCACACTGATATGCTGGAATCTGGAACCAGAGAAAGCGATGAAAAGCTACAAAAAAATCGGGATTCAGTGAAATTTTCAGTGTAATCAGTGTAAATTTCAGAAGAAAGTTCCGATGTCAGAGTGACTTCGAGTTATTCCTGCCCTCTGTCATTCAGAAATAGTCAGAAGCCCAGCGGAGTCAACAAGAGTGAATCATGTAAGTCACTTCCACGAGCAACACAGCAGAATATCAATTTGTTTTCTCGCATTCAAAATTTGAGCAGTTCAGCCGATGCTTTCTTAGAGTAATCAGTTTAGTCTTGTCTCACAAAGTCAGCTTGTATGCCATAGTATTTTTCACTACAAGCTGTGATTATATTTTACTAGATGGCTTACCCGGCTCCGCCCGGCCCTGTCATCATTTTATTCGTAATCAGCATGCTCGATTACCCCCCTGTGCCAACTCCCAGCCCCGTGGCTCAAATTTTGCAAAAAATCGATAAAATCGATATCGATCGATAACGAAAAGTAGCCTATGACACCCGCCGGAGCGCGAAGTGTATGTGTGCCAAGTTTGGTTCGGATCGGTTCAGAAATGGAATTTTCTATTCGGAACATACGTACACACATACATACATACATACAGACAGACATACAGACATTCAGCTTTATATATAAGATGCCAGACATTTGCATATCGCGCTTAAAAAAAGCTGTGAAGATTGCTTCCAAGATGAGCAGATTTTTATGGTCGATTTTATCGTAAGGACAACCTTGACAATCTGGCAGTAAACACCATTTTCAAGAGTCACCAGTTTTGCTATCGTTACCGTCATATTTACGTCTTAGGTTTTGACATACTGCTGTTAGTAGTGCTCTTCAAAATTATCACTTCTGATGGTATGTCGTGATGGAACTCATTCTTTCCTGACGCAGTTGAAAATAGGAATTTAGCACAGGGACGGCCGTCATTGTGGTCCACTTTCAAGCTTCCCTCGGCGAAAAAATCCATAGATTGATAAGGCCATTGATGATGGGAAATGTTCCTTATTTTCATTTAAAAAAAGTATACTCATTCACCCTTCTACACTATACCCATTCACCCTTCTACACCAACTTC